CATAATATACCACCATTACATTTGAAAGTATCATTTGCCAAAGAAAAAGATTTTAATGGAATTCAATCTGTAAAAACATCTACTACTAAAAATGTTGAAGAAGAAAGTGAAAATGTTAGTGCAATACCTATTACATTAGTAGATAAGGAATTGTAAGTAAATTATATAAAATATTTATATATATTCATATTATATACATATGTTCAACAATATAAGAGATGAATATATATAGGATACAAACAAGAGGACGAGGCAAACCTTTAGATATATTTAAAAAAATTCAACCAAATCCAGGATTACCAAAGTATACTTATACACCAGATAATGATTTATTATATCCATATCCTTGTGAACCATATACATATAATCCATATGAAAATGCAGAACCTTATACAAGTACAAATACATTATGGACAAGGTATTATTCAAAATTCAGTAAAAAATATACTTAAATTATACATAAATTATATATAATATAAATTTTTATTAAAAACATTTTAGAGGACAATTAACAATTACTCCAGATGGTAAGAGACATGTTTCACTTGGTCGGGGTTATACATTATATGAAATTCCAGAACCTAATCCTGAAATTCATAATCATATTAACAAAGTATATGAAAAACGTAATTCTGTAAGTATATTATTAAATAATATTAAAAAAATAAAATAGAATATTTTTTAATAATAATTTAATAATATAATTTCATGTAATAGGGTTTATATGAGTATGGAAAAGATATGTTACAAAATGCAATTGGAACATGTAAAATATGTTTAAAAAAGACAAAATATACTTGTGAAAAATGCCATACATTTTATTGTAGCAGAAATTGTCAAATAGCTGATTGGTCACAACATAAAATAGAATGTCAAGCTATACCGTATGTATTTTCTCATATTTCAATATTACAACTAAAAAATATGAAAATTTTTTATTTTTTTTGCTTTTTAAAATTTTGTTTTTCATACTTTATTTTTAGAGCTTTAGTAACATCTATGCATTCTATGTCTACATTTCAATCAAATAATGAAGAACAAATATCTACTAGAAATATTTCTAATATTCAAATACCTCTACGACGACCAAAAAAATTAATAAACACAATAACAAATTCGAACGAAATTTCTCATACTGTTTCAGAGAATAAAGATATGGGTAATATATCTGGTACAATTAATAATAATAATGAAAATAATAATGATTCAAAATATTTAGTTACAAAAACTATTAATCAACAGAAGACATATAAGAAAAATGAAGTAACCATTGAAGGAAATAATTCTTTTTTATGTAAACAATCAATTAATGAAATTTTTAACAATAATATTAAAAGCATAGAAGAAATAGATAGTCAAGAAAATGTTAGAAAATGGCAAAAATTTAATGAAAACGATGTAACGATGATGGAAAATGAAATATCTTTTTGTAACAATACATTTCTATCCAAAATAAAATTTACTGATGTAACAATAATAATGAAGGAAGGTTGTGAATATTGGGTCCAAAAAGTAGAAGATCAGAATTCTATTTCTCAATTAATGACTGAATTACAAAGGGAAGCACAAAATGCACAAAAAGTAGAACCAGTAATTGGAAATATTTGTGCTATAGAATATGAAGGTGTATGGCATAGAGCTGTAGTTACATGTTTAAATCCCGTAAAAGTACATTATATCGATTATGGTAATGAAGAAATTGCTCAAACAAATGATTTTCGTAAAATTGATAAATATAGGAACATTCCAAAATTTTGTACTAAAATTCGATTATCACAAAAAGCATATGAAAAATATAAGAATCTAAAATTTGAGGATGTAATAAGTGTGAAAATGATATCGATTGATTCTAATAAAATTATTAATGTCGAAGTTCAAAATGAAAACGATATTTCAAGTTTAGAAATAATTCAAAAAATGGATATTTCAACTAATGTAAAAATTGATAAAAATATGATTTCTTCAAAAATAATAACTGATGATAAACTATCAAGTTCTTTAAACAAAGTAAAAAGTATAGTAAGTGCAGTATCTATTGGAGAAAATGGTATTCTAGAAATTCATGCAGAAATAAAAAATGATATCTACAGTATTACATTACTGCCTAATAATGCAATACCTGATTATGAAAAATTATTAACAGAATTACCTATAATGTGTGCAAAAGCAGAATGTTCAAATCATAAGTATATATTAATAATATATTATGCTATTAGAGATTTTTTTATTTATAAGATTTTGATATTATTTATAAAATTTTTAATTTTTCTAGACCAAATGTAGGAGATTTAATATGTGGTCAAAGATTTGATGGTGATTGGCTCAGAGGCTATATTTTATCTCTTGTACCACCTTTAAAAATGGTTATAATAGATGAAGCTAGAATAATGCCAATTAATAAAACTGTAACATGTGATAAAATTTTTTCAAATATTTATGCATTTGGTGCAATATGTGAAATAATTGATACTAAACATAAATTTAAGGTTTAAAATATTTAATATGTAAAATATATGTAATATTTATTTCTACACATAATTATAATTATAATTATAATTTATAGGAAGGTGATCATTATGAATTTAAAGTGATAGCACAAAACATTAATAATGAACAACATGAAATTGAAATAGAAATTTCGAATATTTCGAAAAATCAAGATAAATTAAAAGCTATTGTAAAACCTTGGATACCAATGCCTGAACAGAAAGGATTACAATATGCTGAATTGAAAAGTGGATCTGAGGTATATATATAAATTGCAATTTTAATTTTATTAAAAAAATAGTTATTACATTTAATATCTATTTTTAATTTGAATACAGAAAATTTTTATAGGAAAATAGTTCTTTATAGATTAATTTTTTAGGTATGTCTTACTTCTTATCGAAGTCACAATGTTTTATATGCTCGTTCTTTAGATACTGCAGAATTAGAACATTATAATTATGTTATGCAAAATATTGCAAAATGCGCTCAAACATGTATGTATGATATTAAATATAATATAATATACTATGATATAATAGGAAGTAAATATTTAATATAAAATTATTATTATTTTTTTTTATATATAGCTCCATTTTTTAAAAAACCACCAGTTGTAGGAGAGATGGTAATTGCTAAATTTGCAGATGAAAATTATTATCGTGCAATTGTTACTAAAATACAAAACAATGAAATTGTAATTTCATATATTGATTTTGGTAATACTGAAGTTACTAATATAAAAAAACTTAAAATTTTATCTGATAATTTAAAACAAGTATGTTATTATATTATAGTTATAATTATAATAGAATATAGTTAAAAATTCTAATATCTAATATTTTTTAAAGCTTCGATCTTGTACAACAAAGATTGTCCTAAAAGATGTTCCTATAGATATTCCTATGACAAAAGAAGTAAGTGATTATCTAAATTATTTAACAGGAACTGAAGTTCCTTTATTGTGTACATTTGATGGTGTACCTTCCAAAGATGGTGTATATCTTAAACTTCATAATGGAGAAAATGTTAATAAAGTAATAAGTGAATTACTTGTACCTGCATCAAAGAAAATTGAAGAAGGTAATTATTAAAAATTATATATTTATATAAATTCATAATTAAATGTTTTTATCGAACATTTTTAACATTATTTGGATAATAATTAATATTGATTTTTTTTTATAGACAAAACATGTTATATGGCAGGTGATTTAAGTACTATTGATTTAGGAAATATTGGTGATACTGTTGAAGCACTTGTATTATATCCTATTGATGATAGTTACAAATATGCAATGTGTCCCTTAGATTATGATTTAATGACTCATGTTTTTGATATAATGCCAAAAAAAGTAATTTTTATATTTTAGTAAGATTTTATTACGATTTAAAATAAATGTATATAACATATTTTTATTATTTTAATATTTTTAAAGATGACTGAATATTGCGAAGCAAATGATTATTATATTCCTCGTGATACTGAACTTTGTCTTGCTTTTTATGATGGTGGATGGTATCGTGCCATATGTATAAGTCGTAGCTACACTCCTACAACAAGTGCTGTATTTTTTGTTGATTTTGGTAATACTGAATTTATTGATCATAAAGATATACGACTTATGCCAAAAGATTTTATGAGTCCTCATGCACTTGCAAATATTTGTAATATTATTAGTAAGTAATATATATTTATTATAATATATTTGAATCAATATGGACATTATAAATTATAATATGATTTTATAGATGTTGCAGCTATTAATGACAATGGACAATATTCTACCGAAATAGAAGAAAGAATCAAAGAATTAGTTGTTCCTGATAATTGTATTAAAATAAAGATTGTTGATCACGATTTGGAATCTGGAATATACAATGTGGAATTACCATTTATTCGAGATAAATTAATTGAAGAGAATTTGATATCAGCTTGAAAAAAGATGATATGTAACTCATTAGCATTTTAATCAAAATGTTTAAAATTAAAATTATTAAAATATTTTTAAACGTAATAGTTTAAGTATTTTCGTAAAAGTATTTTTATATCTTTATATGCTGTTCTACATTTCGTTTCTAAATTAAGTTTCATTTAATATTCCAAAAATTTCATTTATTAATTGGCGATTATAGTTTGTTATTTAATTGCTGTATAAGATTGAAAGATTTTTTTGAATATTTTATATTTTACTTTTGTTATCTTTTATTTTATTTCAATAGACTATTGTCTTTAAAAAATGATTTTTGCGATTTGAAAGATGTTAATATGTTAAGAAAAAATATATTTTATATTTTGTGTACAATTTATAATAAATATAAAATAAAAATAAAAATTCCCTTCTTTAATATAATTAATATAAAACTAAATTTATTAATTATTTTTTTTAATAAAAATTGTATATTATTATTTTAACTGTCATTTCTAATGAGTTTAATGATCTATTTACATAATTATTATCGCGTTGATTTTTGAAATATTAACGTTCCTAACCTCTCTTACGATTATTTGACTAACCTTCCTTGATGTATCTATTCAGATGACAGATCGCTATAAGCAACTTTGATTTAAATAATACGAGGCTTCCATAGAATAGAAATAATAAATAATGAATGTTCAAATAAGACATCCGTATGAAGGTTTATTACATAAATATACTAATGCCATGAAAGGATGGCAATATCGTTGGTTTATACTTAGACCAGAGACTGGTGAATTACATTATTTTCTTAGTGAATCTGAAAAAAATCAACGACCACGATGTTCAATATATTTAGCTGGTGCAGTGATTGCACCAAGTGATGAAGATTCTAATACTTTCACTGTCAATTCTGCTACAGGTATTTGAAATATATCAAGTAACATTATTAGATTAAAAATTCAAATGATGATATAGCATTTTTATATTAATATAGGTGATATGATAAAATTAAGAGCAACAGATGCACGAGCTCGTCAAGAATGGGTTGACAAACTGCGAGCTGTTACAGAAATGTATACTAGAGCAATAGCTAGTAGCCATCCTCCTTTACCTCCAAGAGAACATTCTACCAATTCCAATAGAAATCCAGTTGCTAAACTGGAAGTTTTAGATGCATTTGCCAATTGTCAAGAACAATTACGCAGAGTAGAAAAACATAATCTTGCATTAGCACAAACCATTGAGAACTCAAATTTAAACTTAGATCCTGATTTATTAGTTCTTAAAGCAACTGCACATACTACTTTACACACATTAAATCAATGTCTCAATATCTTATACCAATAATTTATTAGAAGTTTTAATATCATTGATTAAAGACAGATAAAAATTTCTTTATCTTTCATTATCAAAATATATTTAATGCATTTTAATTAATTTGTATAGGATATATTTTAAATTTATTACTGACAATCCAGCTATATGATCTTCCAATCAGTGCTAAAGAACAATTTGCCTTCTTATTAAATATTAATTAAATAAAAATAAAAAAAATTATTATGTTTATAAGACTTTTAAATATAAGGCCTTTTTATGTTAAAGATTGTTTCAAATCTTTAAATAAAAAGGAATTACAACATATATATATATATATATATATATATATATATATATATAAATTGAAGATGAGACTAGAATTGGATAAATATTTGTAATTATTACATAACATATTAATAAAAATATAAATAATTATATATGTATAGTATAATTATTACTATTAAAGTATTTATTATTAATGCTTCAATATTATTATTAAAAATGCTTCAATAAAGATAATGTTTATGAAGTTTAAGATATTTTTTTCAATTCAAATTAACGTTGATGATGTAAAAAGAAAAAGCTGAAGCTACAATTTCCTTAAAAAAATAAATGTCAAGGATACAAAATTAGGTGAAGGTAAACAGGCAAGTATTTTATCTTGCTTAGAGACAAACTCGATCAGTTTCGTTATTACGTGGTTCTCGTAAAGATCATAACATTTATATATTTGATATATAAATTTTATTTGATGTAGTTAATAAGATAACTATGATAATAAATCGAAATTTACAAAATAATAATAAGTTTTAGATTTGTGTTTAAAAAATTATTTTTGTGTTTTAAATTTATGATCACATTTAATGATCATTCAAAAGTGAATTGAAATTACATAAAAAAATTTGAAAAAAGATAAAATAAATCCTGAAAGAACTATGTCTGTTACGTATACCTCAAAACTTTTAACTGAAGCTGCAGGTGTTAAGATTTATATGACAGAAGAACATACATCAATTGATACAATTACAGGAAAAATTTGTATAATATTAAAAAATATAAAAGAAGCTAAAGCACTTGGTAAATCTTGCGGATTTCATTTAACGAAATCGAAGTGGGATCCTTATCCATGGATAAATCATATTGAAGTCGACAGTCTTGCCGATATAGCAGGACTTAGGTAAGAATAAAAAAAAATGATGAAATAAATATATAAAATTTAAAAATTTTAAATTGTTTGTTGCTGCGTTTTTAGAGTTGGCGATTGTTTAATTAATATTGACGGAAAAGATTTATTAGGATTAAAAATAAAACAAATAGCGGAATTGATTCATTATTATCAAGAATGTAATTTAAAATTATCTATTTGGAGATTTATCGAGGAAGAAAAAGAAAAAGAGACAGGTATAGCCGTAAAAGGACCATTACCAGAAGTAGCTTGCAAACTTGCAAATGCAGTAGCTGGAGTGGTGTGTAATTTAAAATCGAAAATTTTTTAAAATATTTTTAAATATATATTACAATATTTTATAAAAATAATTATTATATTTGTTTAGATACGAGTTTTAGAATGTCCAATTTGTCTGGAAAATTCATTATCTCCAGTCTCTCAATGTGTTCACGGTCATATCATTTGTGTTGGATGTAGATCAAGGACATCTCGTTGTCCAATTTGTAGAGTTAGATTAGGTCAAGGGAGATGTTTGCTTGCGGATAAACTTAATAAGATATTTCGGGATATTTTTGATATTAAAGATAATTTATATAATAAAGCAGAATGTCATACAAAAAATCTTCGAGATCGTCTTTTTGGAAAAATTAAAAAGAAAGAATTAACGCAAGTAGCAGAAAAAACTAATGGTATAAATTCGAAAACATGTCAACTATTGTTAACTAAATTATTTCGTGGTGGATTGGAAAAAGCTGCTTCAGCAGATAACTTAACAATAGTTTCTAATGAAAAATCAAAAGCAAATGTTCCATTTATAAATCATATTGACGAACGTTTAAATTTATATGATCGAACGAAATCTGCAAGTACTGGAGAATTATCAAAAGAACGCAGCGTTGGTAATAATTATTTACAAATTAATGCACCAAATATATCAAGTAATAATAGTTTAATATCCAATATATCTCCTACATTAGTTTGGGGAGATTCCATAGATTCTATATCTTGTACTCAAATAATATGTCCGCTTTTAAAACAAAGTGGATGTAAAAATATTATTACACCTGATGCAGTATTGGAACATTTGAATGAAATTCATGAAGTACCACAAGTTCATTTTTATTCTATTTGTGCAAAACTTCCAATACCTCTTCCATTTGGTTCAGAAGCTGTTTATATATTACATTATGGTGAAGATCTTTTTTTCTTTCAGGTATATTTACCAATTTTATTAAATTTATTTATTACATGTAAAAAATAATTAAATAAAAAATGTTTTGAATATATAGTGTGAAAATGAAATTGTTTGGATTACTAGTACTATAGGAAAAAAAACATCATGGAAATGGATTTTGTATGGTCAAGGAGAAAATGGTACTGAAATAAAAATATGCAGAAATGTTGCTAGTCTTGTAAGTCCTTTGGTATTATCATCACAACACACTGCACCATTGCCAAATGCTTTATTATTATACACATTAAACATTCAATTAATAGAATGTCTCTCACATGAACAATTAGAAATATAAAAAAATATAAATTTTAAAAAAATTTTAAATAAAATTTTAAATAAATTTTAAAAAGTAATAAAATTGTTCATTTTTATTGATAAAAATTAACAAGTACATTATATTTTAGTATAAAAATTTGATATAATATCACAATGTTAATATAAGAATATTTATGTAAATAATATTAACATTTACATGTAATAAAAGAATATAATATAGTCTTGTATTAAGATCAATTTAATAAAATGAAATTATTAAAATATGTATTATTATAAGATATACAAATAGATAATATATGAATTTTTTGATTTTTAAAGCATATGTGAAAGACTTAAAATTCATATAAGTATGTATTATGGTGTTTTATGTAATATATCATCCATATATGGTTTAAAAAATTCAAGTTGTCCAGTTTTGATTGCTTGACCTGCCATAATATCATATGCATATTTTAATACAGCCAAATAGTTTTCTTTCCCAACAATACTTAATTGAACATTGAATACATGAGTATCACAGGAAGGCATTATTTTCTTTGCAACTGGCATACAAAGCATTCTTTTTTTTATATCAGGTTGTACATCTGTCACTTCAGCTTCTTCTTTCTTTTTATCTCTTTTGGGACAACTACAAACTCTAACAGGAAGTCTTCTTCGACCTAAAATTCTTTTATTACGATCTTCCAAAGTAAAAATTAATTCTGTTGGTCTACGATTCATACCAGATGGACAACTGTTTTTACATAAAAATTTAAAACATACTGGAACATATTGTGATCCAGGTTGTGGTCTATTAAGAGGTATTATTATAGATAAATGTTCATTTCTTTCTTCATACATAGTAAGATGATGTGTACATCTAACAACATGTTTAATTACTCTGGGATCCACATCTCTATTACTTGGATTATTTGGTGCCATGTGATTATGACATCTTCTAACTGGATCACTAGCATATTGATCTAAACTAAAAACCATAGCAGTACGTAAAAGAAAACCATCCTCAGGTGGTTCCCACTTAACACGTAGTGGCAATGTTTCTTCCATAATAATAAACACTTTTTTTAATGTTTGAGAATACTAAATAAAATAAATGGAATCAAATATACATTACATATTAAATTTTTACACATATGATTAATAATATTTCAATTATATACTTACAACCCAATGTTTACTAGAATCTTGATTAACTAATAAAACCTGAAAATTATGACGACCGGGAAACTCTTCTCTTACTGGAATAGGAGGATCAATGATCTCCAAAGGATCTTGAAAATATTCTTCTTCCTCTTCATCTTTCATTTGTTTTTCTTCTTCTATATATTGTTGTGTTAAATCATATTTTTCTTCCGTTTTATCTTCTGTTATACTTTGAAACCAAAATGAGGGTACAAATCCACTAAATCAAATAATATGTAATGACATATAATATTTAATATAAAGAAAACTAAAGTAGTGAAGCGCATAAGAATGTTGTAATAATTATTATATATCAACATTTCTTACATATCCTTCACAATTATTTTGTAATCTTCTTCACCTAATATATCAGACTCTTGTGAGTCTGAAAATCCATTCGTAGTGGTCATATTCCATAAAATATTTATTATCTGTGTAACAACAAATCATTAAACTTAAATCACGTTGTTCTAAAATGATGCCATTTATATCCGCGGGAATATCCTTTGTTAAAATAATAGTTGATTTTCAATTAATTATAAAATCGTTCTTAATGTAGATTTTCATGAAATAATATTTTTTTTTAACTGAGTTTTTAGTTGATTAAATAAAATAATATTTAATATAATAATTAAGAAAAATAAAAAAATTGTATTTTTAATTACTTTAAAGATACTTTTACAAGATATTAAATAATTATATATATTATTTAGTATTATAATAAATATATATTATATATATAGTATTTAATATATTATATTATATAGTATTTAGTAGTTTTATATATATATTATAATAATTAAAAAAATTTTTTTAATGTTTTTAATTAAATTTTTTTTTGCGTTTACATACATATCTATAATTTGTATATTATATGGATACATGTCACGTTATTTTATGGCGGGAATAACATGTGGCGCACCACGGTAATGTACGTCAAATGTACGAAACAAACGACTCCAATATGGCGAATGTAAGGGACAGTGATACTTCGTTGTGGCTTCATAACAAGCTTGGAACGTCAAATGATAGCTGGACTGGAAGTTCAATTTGTTCACAACTTAACGCAGAAGTATTGCGGAATATTAAAGATTGTTTTCCAGATCTTCAAACGCAAGTTAAACTTAAATTACTTCTTTCATTTTTCCACATACCAAGACGAAATGTCGAGGAGGTAGGATAAATTTTATTTATTGCATATATTTAAAGTATAAAAAAACAAAGATTTTTTTTGTAAAATACATATAAAAAGATTTATAATTATTACTTGAATGCATATTTAATAATTATTATATACATAGGTCTTAAGATTCCATTGTTATTTATTTTATTAGATATTGAATGTTTTTGAAATGTTTAGTAACTAATCACATTTTATGTTTAATATTGTTTATAAAATTATAAATTAATAAATATAATTAATTTCTTTTTATTTATATTTATATTTATATTTATACTTTATTACTTATATTTATATTTTTTAAATATATTTAAAAAAATATATATTTTTTCATTTTCAATATAATTTATATTTTAAGTCTATTTTTTGTTATGCATATTTATGATTTGTAATTTATTAAATTATGCAGTGGCGTGTTGAATTGGAAGAAATCATTGAAGTGGCATCATTGGATAGTGAATTATGGGTGTCAATGTTATCCGAAGCGATGAAAACATTTCCATCAACAGGTTCTTTGAATACAGACATTACAGATTTAGATGAACATAGGCCTATTTTTGGAGAACTAGTCAATGATCTTCGAAAACTTTTAAAAAAACAAAATGATCCAGCTATGCTTCCATTAGAATGTCATTATCTTAATAAGACTGCTCTTACTTCTGTGGTTGGCCAGCAACCTGCACCAGTTAAGCATTTTACTTTAAAGAGAAAACCAAAAAGTGCTGCATTAAGAGCAGAGTTACTTCAAAAGAGTACAGATGCTGCAAGTAATTTAAAAAAAAGCACTGCTCCTACAGTACCTGTAAGAAGTAGAGGAATGCCTAGGAAAATGACTGACACAAGTAAATTTATATGTATTTTATACTTTTAATTAATATTATTTAAAAAAAAAAAAGTAATATGTAAATATAAAATAATATACTACTTTTAGCACCTTTGAAAGGCATTCCCAGTAGAGTTCCTACAAGTGGTTTTCGTTCTCCCTCGCTTACGAGTTCTTCAATGTCTAACAGGACACCTCTTAGCAATAGAATGCGCAAAGACGGTGGTATTAAGTTACTGGATATTAATGAACAACCACTTGGCTATGCTCAAGCAAAAAAACGAAAGAGAATGATGGAATTGGAAGAACAACAAAAGAAAGTTGCAGAGGCTCAAGCTGTAGCAGCTGCTACTACATCACCGGTTACGACTACAACGGAAACATCAACAACTCCAGAATATGCCCAGGGATTAACTTCGATTAATCCACCTGCTACCCCCATTACTCCTGTAGCATCTGTACAATCTTATACACCTACTACTCCAAGTGGAGTAGTGCCAGTAACAACACCACAAACTCGTATGTTTTTATATATAGCTATGCTAGAATAAGAAATTAAATGAATAAAAAAAAATAATTAATTTTCTCTTATACAGCTACAACACCAAGTACACCTACAACTCCGAGTACAGTTATACCTGTTACGACACCGACAGTTATTACACCTGTGGAAAGTACACCTGTCGGAGTGCAAACAGTTAGGCCAGCCCAAACAGTTACACAAATTCGTATACAAACTACTGCACAACCTGCTAATGCGGCAGCAAATACGAGAAAAGGCTTGTCTCTCACGGTATGAAAAATATTTATACTGTATGCTATACATATTATATATATCGTATATAAAAATTATAATTGTTATTTTATTAATTTATTGTATTATTTTTATAGCGAGAACAAATGTTGGAAGCACAAGAAATGTTTAGAACAGCTAATAAAGTAACTCGACCAGAGAAAGCTCTTATTCTAGGTTTTATGGCTGGTTCAAGAGGTATATATATATATATCTTTTTAAAATATTTTTTAATATCAAATATCTTTTAATAAAAAAAATACATTTATTTATTTATATATTCATATATTTAGATAATCCTTGTCCAAAGTTGGGTAATATAGTGACAGTAATGCTCTCGGAAAATATAGAAGAAGTGACTCAACCGGATGGTACAACAGTTCCCATGTTGGTTGAGACACATTTCCAAATGAATTATACAAATGGCGAATGGAAGAGGATAAAGAAAAATCGACGAATTATTACAGAAGAATCAACGTCCACTACGACTCCTACTCCCAGTGTGACGGCAACAGCTTCCAATTGAAAAAAAATAAAAGAAATTTTTATCAAGTTGCAATTATATAGGTCAATAATTCTGTCATTTTTTAGATGACGGTGTTTTGAAAAACTCTGTTCTATAGATAGCAAAAGAATTTGAATGCAGAAGGCAAAACATGTCCTCTGTGTTCTATATGGTGTAAGCAGACTTGTGTATCATGTTTTAGTAGTAAAACTTTAATGTATGATGTACATGTTACATCAAAAAAGTTATGTTATTCGAAAAAATATAATGTAATAATGAAGATATTCTTGTTTCCATTTTTTTTTAAAAATGGAAGAATGATTAAACAGATACATTTTTTAATTGAAAATAAGACGTTATTTTCAACAGATTTCAAATATTATCAGAAATGAAAATTTCTATTTCTATGCGCGCATCTGGTTTCATTGACAATGAATAATTAAAATAAAAACATTGGTTAATTAAAAAATTAAATGCTATTTATTAATAGTATGATATTTTTCATTGTAGGGGAAACCGGATGTTATTAATTTAAATGCGATAGTTCATAATTTGAATTTATATATAAATATATATATAAAAATATGTTTCTTCATTCAATAGAAACAAATATAAAACTTATAATATTGTTATTTGAATAAAATATGGTTATATTGATTAAATTCGATTTAATTAAAAAATTATATTTATTATTATAATGCAATTAATGCAATATATACTCGAGATTCTTTTGAAATATTGAAATGTTAAGATATTGATGTATTGGCAATTCCAAAGATCAATTTTACTTCGACAATTGTCGCCCTCTAACATTTTACTAGAAGGTTATTTCGATTTTTCGAAAGAATATTTTATAAGAATCTAAAGAATTATTTTCTCGATAGTAATTAATATTTGAACAAAATTAGTTAAAATTAATATATATATAATAAGTTCTGAAATATTTTCTATTATTTTTTATTAAAATGTGTCATTCATAAGAAAAGTGAATTATATAACCTCTTTGAAAAGTTCAAGATAAACTTTCGAAAATAAGTTTTAAATTTAATATTTATTGTTTCATGAAGTAATTTTGTATTTCTCTGATTATAAGATTTGTTATCGTTGCTTATTGTTCTTGCATTGAGAATAATTTATATATTAATAATGCTTCGATTCTTAGCATCTTTACATTCTCAAACTTGCAAAGCGGTAAGTTATTTGATCTAATAGAAATATTAATTATTTAATTTATTTATATCGTTTGAAAATTATTTTAATTTAATAATAATATTTTAATATGTATTTAATTATTAATTTTATTATTCAATATCATATTTGTAATATATGAATAGTACATTTACAGGTATATGTAGCAACATCAAATTTGATGAAAACTAAACAACCGACGTTAGTAGAACATGCTCGAAATTTTTGTGTGAGTTCAAAACTTTTTTCTTGCCAACTTCAAATTCAAAAGCCTGCACCTGAATTTTCCGGAACTGCCGTAGTGGATGGCGATTTCAAAGAAATCAAATTAAGCGATTACAAAGGAAAATATGTTGTACTCTTCTTTTATCCATTAGACTTGTAAGTTATTAAGAATTATATATTCAGGAAAAATCAAATATTTTATTTGAAAATATATATAATTTTATTTTTCAGCACATTTGTCTGCCCTACTGAGTTGATAGCATTTAGTGAAAAAATTTCAGAATTTAAAGCTTTGAATACGCAAGTAATTGGAGTTTCTACAGATTCCCATTTTAGTCATTTAGCATGGACTAATACACCAAGAAAACAGGGTGGATTAGGTGGTAATTTAGGTTATCCTCTTCTTAGTGATTTTAATAAGGAAATATCAATCAAATATAATGTACTTCTCCAAGAATCTGGAATTGCTTTACGAGGTCTCTTCATTATAGACAAAGAAGGAATATTAAGACAGCTAAGCATAAATGATTTACCAGTAGGCAGAAGCGTAGATGAAACATTGAGACTTATCAAAGCATTCCAATTTGTTGAAAAACATGGAGAAGTTTGTCCTGCTAATTGGCAACCAGATTCTAAAACCATTAAACCAAATCCAAAGGATAGTAAACAATATTTTGAATCGGTTAATTAAATATTAAAAATGCATATTTTCTATAAGTATAACTAAACTATACTGAATTGTATAATAAAA